ATATCTGGGAGGATAAAAAAACAGCAAACGGCGTATTTCTGGATCTCCAGAAAGCGTTTGACAGCCTAGACCATAAACTACTACTCCAAAAAATATCAGCCCTAAACATCAAAAACAAAGCTCTAGACTGGATAAAAAGCTACCTCTACAATAGACAACAACTCATTGAAATTGAACACCAAAGTGGAAACTTCATTACCAAATCCAGATCAAAACTGCAAACCATCACTCAAGGCATACCTCAAGGCTCAGTACTGGGACCCCTACTCTTTCTGATCTACATAGACACCTTCCCCACCCTCCTACCAGCAGACAATACATGTATAATGTTTGCTGACGACACGACCATTATAGTCCCGGGCATACCAACACCTAATCTAACAGAAAAAACAATAGACACAGCAAAAAAATCTGCAATAGCCTAAATCTCCGAATCAACGAATCTAAAACTGTCTGCCTGAAATTCACTCCAACAAACAAACCTCTAACTCAAGAAGACACAACAAATGCCAACCCCACAACCAAATTCCTTGGCATCATTCTTGACCAGCAACTAAACTGGCACCCCCACTTGGAAAGGCTCCAGCGAAAACTCTCATCAGCTATCTATGCCCTCAGAAGAATCAGGGAAATCACCAACGAAGAAACTACTAAGATGGCTTACCATGGAATCTTCTCTTCACACCTGAAATTCGGCTTAATTGCATGGGGAAGTGCCAGCGAAAGCCTATTAAAAGAAATACAAATCATTCAAAAGAAAGCAGCCAGAATCATAGACCAATCCCACTACCTCGAACACTGCAAGCCCCTTTTCATAAAACACCAAATCCTAACCCTAACCTCTCAATACATATTTGACACCATCAATTTCATAAAACAAAATCCGCCTGAAACCAGACAAACATGCCACAACCACAACACCAGATCAAAATCGAACTATAACACCCAACAAAACAGATTAAACAAAACCAACAAAACTCCCACTGCAATGGGAGCAAAGCTCTACAACCTACTTCCACAACAACTCAAAACAATAAACAACACAAAAAAATTCACTGCTGCACTAAAAAACTACCTCCTTCAAAGACCATACTACACCATCAAAGAGTTCTATGAAGATCATAACTACCACATAGGGCTATTATAAGAAGAGAAAGAAGGAACTTAAATGACGATTCTCCAGTCTCTACGACTGCGATGAAGAGGACCTATGTAAGATGTCGTGTGGCACGCAATCAAACGCACGACTCAAATCACAGAGGGTGAGAGCCAGTGAGTTCCCAGATTCAAAGGTGTCGGTTATTCTGGAAACCAAGGATAAAACATCAGTTGTTGTGGAACGCCCTCTACAAAAACCATGTTGAGCATCATTCAGTAAGTTGTTCGACTCAAAGTAGCTGCATAGTTGGTTCTTGATTGTAGTCTCGATTACTTTAGACAAAACTGGCAGCACAGATATAGGCCTATAGTTTTTAATTTCTTCGGTATCACCTTTTTTATAGACTGGAACTGTCCGTGCTATCTTGAGGGAATCTGGGAAAAAACCATTCCTGAGACAGCTGTTTATGCTCGATGACAGAGGAGAGGCAATATCACTGATTACAGATTTGAGAACATTACATGAGACCCCATAGATGTCCAGGCTTTTAGAGTTCTTAACAATCTGACAGATCTCGTTTGGGGTTACTTCACACCAGTTTCGAAGACCTGGTCCCTGTACGTTGTTCAGAGGGTTAAGCTTTACGGAGGGGAGGCTGGCCACTATTTCATCCACGGAATCAAGTAAGAAGCTGTTGAAGTCATCTGGGCTGGCAGAACAGCCAACTTTAGGCCTTTTTGGTCGATGTTGGTTCACGATACTCCAGGCAGCTTTACATTTGTGCGAAGACTGCTCTATGACATTAACATTGAAGGCCTTTTTGGCCTCTGAAACATTATTTCTGTACAACCTATTCGTTTTAAGATGTAAGGCAAATAGTTTATTTCTCTCAATCGGTGACTCGGTGGACTTAACATGGTCATTGATAATCTTAACGAGGTTTTTAAGATGACGTAGGGAAGGTGAATACCAAGATTTATCCTGCTGCGCACATCCAGTCCTGGTGTTAGGCCTATTTGACTTTTGTTTGAACATTTTTGTAGGAAAAATAGAATTGAATTTATGGTTGAAAATACTGATAAGGCTATCAAAAAAAATTTAGTACTGAGGTAGGCCTATACTTGTTTCATTTACCCATTCAACTTTCCTCAGTTCGTACTTCAGAATAGACAGGAGCTCATCTCTGACTATCTGTTTGGAAACAATGTAACTGGCCTGCCATGGGACTTTAGGTTGCCCACTGACTAGGTCAGGGTCAGCACTTGGTTTTATCTCCAATATCACTGCAGAGTGATCAGCTACAGTAGGGTCAATGACAGACGTTCTGTATTCCCAAGTGTTGAGATTTTTTGCTATGGTATCGAGGCAGGCAGTATTTTTGGTGGGTTTCCGGCTTGTTCATAAGTACGGAGCAGATTGGAGAATACATTTCCCCACCTTGACTGTTTTTCAAGATGTATGTTAAAGTACCCGGCCAGGGCTATTTGTTTTCCAGAACAAGAAATGAAATGTAAACAATCATTCAGCCGTTCTATGAATTGTGGGAAATCACCATTGGGAGAGCGATAAAGCGATATTATTATTAGCCTAGTATCTAGCAGTTCAATGGCTACAATTTCAATGTTTTTTTCTATGCAAGAGTTGTTTGCACAGATTTCCTTAAAAGTAATATTTCTATTTACAAAGATCGCTGAGCCCCCATGTATAAATTCTTGTCGGGTATAGATTGAGGCTAGAACAAGATCAGGCCCTATCCTGGAGTAAAATTTGGATTCTTCCAATCCTAGCCAGTGCTCAGTTACACATAACACATCGGAGTAGGTTTCATTTAGAAACAGGTCAAGAACAGCTAACTTAGTTCGAAGACATTGAACATTCACGGTGGCTATCACCATGTCAGAGTTGAAACTATTTACATTTATTTGCCTAGGCCCTGATTCAGGAGTAGGCAGCCTGGACCTCGGCCTACTAAGATCATTTGAGAAATCTAAGTGACACTTGTTTTGTGAATCTTCCAGAATAAAAAACGCTTCAGAGTGGTGTTTTTTGGCCACTTATTACTGTCCATTACGGTATCTTTGTGTACAAAGTCAACGCCAAGTTTGAAACTGTCATTATGGCTTTTGCTTTCAAGCTGCTCTATTTCAAATTTAACCTCAGGAAAGGTTTTATTAACAAAATTCTGGACATCATTTGAGCTGGTCCCTTTAGCTACTCTCCCCAAATGAAACCAAGCCTTTTTTGTTCCACACAACCCTAGATTAGAGCCATTTTCCGAAGTAGCAGTGCCTACAATTGTCAGATTTTTGTTGTTATTTCTAGGCCTATTCTTGGGTTTGGCATTTTGAGAACCTGACTTACTACTAGAACTATAACTTGAGACTTACTTGGTTTCCAGCTGAATTTGGCATAGGCCTATGCCTAGATTGGTTTTGGGAGGTTCCAAGCTTGAGCTTCTTTTTAGTTCTATTTTATGCAGTTTGCCATTCTCCATTATTTAATTCACCTTCAATTTCAATGGAATTGTTAGCATCACTGCTAGGCAGTGGCTTCCAATCAGGCATAGGCGTACTTTTTAGAGGATCTGCACTGTCTCCAGGGCTAGGCTCAAGCTGAGCAGGCTTGGAGCCTAGCTTAGAAGGGCTAGGTATAGTACTTTGAGTTTGTAGGTTACGATGCAGATGCATGTTTCAATTAGTTTTGTCGCCTTTTACGGCTTCTACAAATGAGGAAGGCTTATTTATCTCGTTTGTAGGCATCAAAATCTGATTTATAACTGATCTGCTAGTGTCAAGTGATGTTGTTTTAGAGGTTAAATGATCTGTCATATCACGTAACTGGAGCTTGATTGCCGCATTTTCACTCCCGAATTCCAAAAGTCTTTCCGACATGGATAAATAGTTCTTACTTATCTCACTTAACTCTGTAATAATAATGATAAGTATTGTGGTATTATCGCTTTGATCGTTTTCAATATCAGCGGAGGTAACCGTTCTCGACACAGAATCGGTACCGGTGTCAGACGACGTCACGCACTCCGTACATAGCCACAGTAGGCCCGGCATTTTATTGGCGATGCGCTTGTTATGATCGTAATGAGACTTGATAATATTAGCACACGATATATGCCACCACTTTTTACACTTTCCGAAACATAAAACTGCATTATGCCTATCCGAAACCACTTTTTGGCAGGAGCCACAGTAGCACTTTTGTTCAATCGCCGCCATCTTGTCGGCTGTCCTCCATTCCCCACAACCCCTCACTGAGATTAGGCACCAGTTCTGTGCTGTTGTTTTTTCTGAGCAAAGCATGTTTAATTTTAAAGTTGTCTTTAAATAAGTTGCTGGTCCAAGTTGTAATCAAATGGCAGATTTTTTTTTCATTTAAGGATCTCTAACACATCCGTCTAAATCTCTTAACCCATCAATAATCTATTGACAGACTGTTAGGACTAACTCTAGAAATGTTTGGTCCATAAGAGTGGCTGATGGTTGGCTAAAACAAAGTATATCACTGAGCAACATTTAACCGTATTTAATACCAATAGTTTTAGTTTTTCTCATTATCTTTTTGTTAACTGTTTTAGGATAGTATCTTTTTCCTCAGCATTTTTTATAAATCTAAAGCCAATTTTCTGTTTGTATCATTCACTACAAATAATACTAGAACCAAACTCTGTAAGCAAACAAATTTCTGGTGTCACTGTAGAACAACACTGGTTGATGAGCATTGAAAATGATGTTAAATACAGGTCTGGTGGCAAAACGGGGAAAAAACCTGACTGATGTATTCAGTACAACACTTCATTTTGGCTATTCCATGGTAGCCTATGTTAAGCAAGGAAACCTTATTGAATATAAATAAGTGATCTACTAAACATATTTTCTATGTTTTCCAGATAAAAGCACCAACAATATCTCAAGCATTGGCTACTGTTGCAATTTACAAGTATGTAGCTGCACATGTTTCCAGCTTCAAATCACAGTATCCTGAATGGGAAAAGATTGTACCAAACCTTTTGAAAAAGAAACGCAAGAAACGGAAGTTGAATCTAGAAACAAAAGATAGGAAGGAATCTAGCGAACTGTTACAATCAAATGCTGAAAGTGATGGTGAAAATTCCGGAAGTGAGGCTAGTGAAGATTCTGAAAGTGCATCTGAGGTTTCAGATGATGAAAACAACGCAGACAGTGGTTCTTCAGAAAATGGCGAAGAAGAGGAATCTGAAGATGACATCAACAGAATGTCTATGGAAGAAAAAGATGAAGATGAATCTGAATCAGATGAGGAAATGTCAGAAACTAGTTTAAAGAAAGTTGTCCAACAAAAGAGGAAACATTTAAAAGAACCTGACAAAGTCACAGACAGTTCCAGTTTAAAGACTAAACAAGCTAGTAATGCAAGTAAATCCAAGAAACTAATAAACAATGCAAATCTTAGCTCAACACATGTTAAGCCTAAACCTGTAGAAAATCTAACTAAAGTTGTAGACCCATTTTTTATGACAACCACAAACCAAGAGTATGAAACAAGTCAAGTTCCACTCTCTAACGAAAACACTTCTTCATATAAAAAATCTGGTTTTGAGGAGAAGCATTTTAGAAAGTTTGATAATATCGACTCTGATAGGAAATGGGAAAGAACAAATAACGATAGGAAATTCTCTAAAATGGCAAACACAGCTCCATATACAAAATCAAATCCAAGTCCTTCCAATAAGTATCCTGCTGGTACCAAAAGAGAAAAAATTGTTTTTGGGAATCGGAAAGAGAGAAGAAAAGCTTTACTCCAGCCTCCAGTTGAAGAAAAAGTTGAAAAACTCCATCCCTCCTGGGAAGCAAAGAAAAAACAATCAGCCATCATTCCCTTCCAAGGAAAGAAAGTTACTTTTGATTGATCTAGTCTTAGTTTCTTCAATATAAATATTTTTCACTTCTATGATTTAATGAATTACAATTTCCTTAATCCTTGACAATTTCTTATGCATGGAGGGAATGTACCTAGTTGGTAGAGTTTTTCTTGTCCTTACACAGTAGGCCAATATATTTTCATACTTGAGTGAACTTCCCTATGGGGAAGAAGCTAATTGCTATTACATTAGGTGGCACAAAAATACCTAGACCTGGGACCAAATATTTTTTTCATCTAAATGTCCCCAATTTGTTCAGATTTATATGAGCATCCTTTTACACGATGATTCAAGTAATTTTGGCACAATTTTGATGTCATTCAGCCTAAATGTGTACAGCTGGATAAACTTGGTCGAATTTGCGGACCAACAAAATCGGCTTATGGGGACAGAGTGTTTTGTAACATTGTTTTAAATTGGTAAGCCTATTTTTTTATGTTATCCGTAAAACATGGAAATAGTTATTTATATTACATACAGGGTGTTTTTTTAAAAAACTTGCATCTTTATTTATGTATAAACAGCAATAGATAGAAATATGCAGTTTGCGGGAATCATCTATTGATGTAGGGGGCCCAATTGTTTTGAATTCAACGTTACATTCACATTTCCCCCCTTTCCCCCCCTGCCACCAACTTATTTATTTTTAAATAGCAAGGTACCCCTTGTGATATATCAAATGAAAGAGCATGAAAAAATAAAATGTTTAGTGAAAAAAAAATTTTTAATTGGCTCATAAATTTGTGAGATCAGTAACTTGCGTATTAAATCTTGTGTTATTGAAATAGGGAATTAACATGACTTTTTGATAGAAATATTTGGGTAAAAATCCAATTAGACAAACTGAAATGTAGTTAGTTAGGCTACAGGTTTTCCGTGGCAGGGGTATTTAAGTTGTATAACATGTATTAGATAACGCTTTGACACACTTTTAAGTTGTCAACAAAAAGGTCTAGATTCAGTGAGAAATCTTATTCAGAACTACTACGAGCTAGCAATTTTATGATTTTTGACTTGAGGTAATCTTTGTACACCTGCACATTAGTATGATGGCATTATAAGCGCTTCTTTGACCCAACTAATGATGTTACATGAATGATTCACTGTTCTTTTTCCTCATGCATCCTACAGTCATGGTCATGGCCAGTATTTAATTACAAAACTGGTCCTTGCCTTCAATGTTAAAGTCAAGTAGGCAACAAATAGTTTTTTTATGCAAACAAGATGTACTAGTTATCACCTGAACTTGTTAACAACTGATAAAAGTCAGCACTCTACTTTTGGTTGTTACGTTCACCGTTTCCTTAAAAACGCATATTTGTGCATGTATATAGCCCATATACAGGGTGATTGATATAAGTGTGCGAGCTATTTTATTTGAAAGTTAAAAGAGATAACAAAATGTGAACTTGTTAACTGCCTTTAATTCTTTTATTTTTATTTTGGTCAAGTTGAAAAATAATTTTGGCTGCCATTTTTCCAATATGGCTGCCAACTTTGATTTTTCTTATAGAATACCCTATATCTTATGATTGTTTTAGAAAGTAAATGCAATTAGAAATCGTTTTTATTATTAGAATTTTTTTTCTAAAGCTACTCGAGCGTAATACAACTAAGAAAAAGTGACTTGCTGTGTACATTCTGTATCATGTAGCTTCTAAAGGAGTATGTTTAGAGCGAAAATGCAAGGAGTAAAAAAGTCTTAAAATTGCATCTAGATTCTTAAAGGACATAACATACACAGTTTTCCTATTTTCAAATTTCCCTGCCATTTTGGAAAATGGTGGCCATTTTTGAAACAATGGAATCAATATTTGTTATGTATGTTATAGTCTTGAATCTAGATGCAATTTTTACTCTAAAATAAAGGTACAGGATCCTGTATATAGACTTTACGACGAAAACAATGATTGTACTACTTATTTTGATTGGAAAATAGGAATAACAAATTGAGAAATTGTATACAAAACCCAAAATTTGTATTGATAATTCCCTAATACAAATCAATTAATATTGGTAAGACAAATTATATGTATAAAATAAAAAAATAAAGGCTCAATAGAGCAATGGAGGAATTGCGGCACCATCTTCAAACTGAATGCTTCAAATTTTACGTCTTGTTCCTTGAAGCATAAGCGAAACTGCTCGAATGATGGAAAGCTGGCTTTGGATCCTTAACCATCAAATAATTTGTTAGTATGGTTTTCTCCATTTTTCAGTCAGTGCCTCGCTTGTTCTCCTCTGAAACGCAAACTCTTCATATTCTTTGTGGGTGACTCCTTCCGTGGAACATATTAATGGTGTGATTAATGATTGAGAAATTTATCCAAGTAATAATGCTTTTTTCAACTTAAGTTGGATAAGTTCTACAAAGGAAATTTTAAAACTTGCCAAGGACAGTTGTGATGTAGAAGTAGAGAAAGCCCAGTGTACAGAGAAGTCATTAGCATCTACTGAGTCAGTAAGCAAGTCTACAATGTTAAACTTGTTCTGTTGATAGTTAATAAGTGTTAGCATCATGTTGAGACCAACACAACATGCTGTGCCAGGCTCTTGGGTTTGTTTTATAATTAGTAGTCATGTCAAGATGGAAAAAAGTAGAATGGAAACAGGATTTTGTTTTTAGTAAATTATATTAGAACAGTATTGGAAAATAAATAACTCATAGATTTTTGCCAAAACACAGACATTTTATTTTTATTAATCACATCATAAAAGTAGTATTTAATTAATTGTTTGCAAATTTTTTTGTTTGTCAATATTTCTTGTTTTTTTCTAGAAGGACATTTGTATACACATTGTTGTTTTGCAATGTTTCTTTAACTTGTTATATATATATATATACACACAACTTGTTTTATATTATGTTGTTGTTGTGGATATAGGCTATCCACTATTGAATCCTGAAGTAAACAGTTGTTATACTGTAAGTCTCGACCCTTCTCTTTTAGCTCTGCAAGGATTGATTAATTGAGTTAGGGAACGTGTCATCTCTAGGTGTCCTCTATGCATGCCTAGGAAGGACCTTCTCTCTAGTTTTTTGTGGCCCATCAAACTTGTGTCATCTTGATTGGATAATCCATGATCTGTGGCATCTTTGCCTATACGCCCTTTCAGAGGCATGTTTCTGCCCCTTGACCCTCACCAAGAGTGTTCCCTTTACCTCATTGAGGTCATAAAGTGAATAGTCGGCAGTCTCCTCAGACTTATCCTTATGTCCTGTGTTTTTTTATATCTCCATTGTGGATCCTCAATCAATGTAGTTAGTTACTTCTTTAGGTAAATATGACCTGTTACATTTAGGATTTGCATCCGTTTAGTTGTATAGTAGATAAAAGGATTATAGAGTATGTATACTTCTTTTAATCTATGGTAATAGAGACAGTTATGATAACTGAGTTATCTGGGATGAAAAGGAAAGAGAAGGCGGTCCCTTACCCCTGGTGAGGTGAAAAGTTGGTTATCTTATCTAAAAAACTAAATGTTATACATAGTTGTTATATCTTCGTGTATCCTGTTCAATAAGTTCACATATTCTCGTATTTAGTTTTGGCCTAACTGTCATGATAAAAGATACCATAATTTTACAATAAGTTTTCTCATTGGTTTTGTGTAATGACCTTAATTTAATTGTGTAATTTCCTTAACTACCCTGTATATATTTCCAGTGTGTTTATTTTTGGTATATTTCCTGTAATTATAGTTTGGTTTGACTTTTTTTTTGTTCTTTACACTAATATAAGTTTTCAAAGTCACGATGTTCCTTTCAGCTACTGTAACTTATGCAGAATTTAATCTGCCATTTAGAGTACCATTCCTGAGTGCTGAGTCATGTGAGACAGAGACCTTGCTTTTATAGCTCTGTCTGCAATATACACAGAGTCTATTGGTCTAAGTAAAACCCACTGATGTCGGTTAAATTACACCAAACCTACACTTGAAAAAAAATAGCAAACCCCTGTTTCATATTTTTTTTAGAAATTATTATAAACTTTTCTATTTCCTACCTGTAGGATTTTTGACTCACTTGTGAAATATTTAATTTTTCCTCTTTCTCTCCCCCCCCCCCCCCACAAAATGACCACAATTCATGAATCTGATACACAAGAACAAACAGTTTAGAATTGGAAAAATCTTTGAATCACTAGGCCTAATAATTTGAAACCGCGTAAGAAATGTTATGAATAATCGTACATTATAATTTCAAAACTCGTTATATCGTACATTTTTCACACATTTCATTCATATCACAAAACACAAAGGATGATCAGAAAATCCACCTTCAACTCACCCAGAGGCCATGCAGACTTGGTGAAAGATTTTGCTCTAAACAAATAACTGTGGCTCATCAGCCGTATTGTAAGTTCTCACTATAATTATACCGAATGGTTCCTAAAGTTGGCCACAAACAATAAATCTTGGAATAGCCTTGACTCGTTGCCGGCTCTAACTGGAAACAATTGGCGGGAAAACAGCTGTGCCGCCGTGTGACTTGCAGAGATCTTATTGACTGGGATGTCTCGTTTGATCTTGCACGAGATCTATGTGAGAGAACTAGAGAGATAAAATTTGTAAATACATTTTTGTACGTTTTGTCATTGACTTTGAATACTGAAGAACATAACCTATTAATATTGATCAGGTTCGCCATTGTTAAACTAAAAGTGTGTTAAATGAGCCGCTAGTGTGCTACTGTAGATGCTGTTTACAGTGAGTTCTCTTTTTACTTTCTCCCCCTATACCATAATTATATGGAGAAAGTATTTCGTCAAATTTTTGAGATTGAGCTTTGAGTGGATATATCCGTTTTGGGTACCCCTAAACCCTGAACCCAAAAAGTGGTTTTCGAGGTGATGTCGGTGTGTTTGTGTGTCTGTATGTGTGGATGTGCACAGAGCTACAGACCACGCCTGTAGTCCAATTCTGATGAAATTTTGTACGTACATATGTACTAAATCCATGGTATCCTAAGGAATTTTTTTATTTTGATTTTTAATTGTGATTTTCCCATAAAACGCATAAAATAGCTGTA